GTCTTTGATTTCCATCAAAATATTAGACTTCGTGGTGTTCAAGCGAGTGAATAATGTTGGAGGTTGGTCTTGCCTTGGCTTGTTCTGGAAGGGTTCCAGGTGTGGGTTGGATTCATGTGGCCTCTTAAGGTCGGGTTTTTTCGATGGTAGGGCATCCCTTTTTGGAAACATAGTCTCCTCCATATTAATGTATTTCTCTGCTTGGGTAAGTAAGTCGGTTATCGACTTTGGAGGGGTCTTTGACAGTGACATCTTGAACGCTTCACATCTTACGGCGTACGTTAGGGCAGAGACCGCAGCTGCGATGTGTAGATCGGGGATCATAAGTCTCTCTATATTAAACTTTGCTATAAAATTTCGAAGTGTCTCGCCGGGTCCCTGAAGCATTTACATGAGTGATGCGGCTATTTTCCTGATGCGCTTACTACTTGCAAAGAACGCAGAAAACTTTTCTGCTAGGTCCAAAAAGGAAGATATGGAGTTGGGTTCCAATGTGGAGAACCAATCTCTGGCTGTGTTAGTAAGTGTCTGAGGAAAGGCCTTGCAAATTACAGCATCGGGTGCAACTTGCAAGTTCATGATATCCGTGTATATGTTGAGATGGTTGATAGGGTCAGTTGTCCCGTCATACTCCGTCACCCGAGGGTACTTAAACCGATCTGGTAGGGGGTATGATAACACTTCAGGGGTAAAAGGTGTGTTTGGGGTGAATCCTGTTGCGGCCTGGGATTTCTGGAGCATTTCAGCTGTGATTCCCTCTTGGATGATCCGTGCAAGATCAGCCGAGTCTATAGTAACTGGTCTTGAACCAACAGGGATATGTTGTGCGTTCGAGACTCCAAGTCACTGTGGCTCGTGCCCGCAGCCCGATCCTCGGCCATGAGACCGCTCTGCGGGGAGCGTATTAGGGGTGTGTTTCTCTGATGTAGCAGTTGAGTAAGCGTGGCTACCTGTTGGCGGAGTTCCTCCAATGCACCGGGAGCCACTGTTGCCGATGGGTGAGGTTATTCTCCCGATGATATCTCCTGGGGACCAGGATGGTCTCCGGCGGGGGTTGGTTAGGAGCGGATGAGCTTGCTGGAAGTTGTCCTGGGATTGTATTGCTTTAAGATACGGTGAGTTTTATGGTAAGTTGGGGGTTTAGTGGTTAAGTTGAACTAATATTCTTTGGTCACGTGAGGTTGGAGGGAGGCACGTGAGGCAGGGACAGTGAGGCTGATGTACTTGACTGGAACACCCTCGATCTCGACCTTATGCATTCTGTCGTGGAGCATAAATGAAAAATTTTGGGTTGAGTTCGGGTTATTATCTCAGAGGTAACGCTTGACCTCGACCTTGACCCCAGTGTATAACCTATTTGGGAAGAATATAATAACCCGACCTCGAGATCGAGATCGGTTATGAAGTCATCACTAAGGGTGGAAAATAGGTGGAAAGAAAATTAATTCCAGGAAAAATAATTGCCTAGAACTTGTTTTTTGAGAAATTGTTAATTAAGTGTGTTTGATTGGTATAATTTTCCACCCGAAAATTTTAAAATTTTGGATTTTTTGTTTTAGTTTGACTTGTTTTACATTAAAATTGTCCATTAAAGTGATAATTTT